GCGTGTGCTGAAACAGTTCAAAGCTCCTAATATGCTTTTAAAAGATTGCCTTCTCTTTCTCTCGAAAATACAAGATTTTTGGAAACAGACTAAACTTCAGGTTCTTTAGCAATTGATCCACCCTACTACTGCTATTAACAGCTGTAGCAACAGTCGAGAGGATGCCTGGCCAATGGGGAGGGTAGTAAGAGCTCGAGGAGACTGAGTGGTGCCACTTTCATTTACCTTGTAATGAAGGTGCCTAAGCTGTTAAGCTGTTACTTATTCCTTCTCCTGTTGACACTGAGGAGCTGCAGCTTGGAGCTGTTTGGAAGGAATCCTGCAAAAATAGTGAAGGATAGTGTGCACCAAAAGGTCTTGATGTGAGTCTTCTGCCAGCACCTATGTGGTCTTTCTGCCCATGCACCACAGAGGATCGCCTAGCAGAGGCTTCGTCCAAGTGTGTAATTCTGGAGAGAAGGTGTGCTTCTACTACAGTAGTTACATGCCCTGTAATCACAAATGTGTGAGTGAAAAAACAGTGAAACATTGGTGGAAAATATTTGTGTTGGGCTCTTTTTATTTTTTTTCTTCTCATTTGATCTGGCATTAGAATAGTGTTATTGTTCAGAAACAGGCCATAACCATTTATTAGACTGAATTTATTCAAAATTTTGTTTCAGTAAATATGGGGCATGCATGTGCACAGTTACGTGCATGTAAACTCTACTTATTTCTGTAAAATTAGAGCTGAAAACATCCTTGGAAATAAAGTTATTAATTCTTCTCTCATTTTTTTTTAAGTGGCCATCAGTTCTTTCCTTTCAATGCTTATATAAACAGGAACGTTTTCTCTTTTGCAGATTGTGCTTTACACTTGCACAGGGTTTATCCTGATTTTTCATGTCTCTCTTTGTCACTGTTGTAATAATTTTGATCTGGACAAAGCAATCATACCTGATGGTGAAGGATGAGATAAATACACTAGCTGAAACCGTTCTGTGAAAACGATTGGCAAGCCTCATCAATCAAAACTAGTTAATGAGCGGCTCCCAGGGAATGCTTTCTACTCATAAGAGCACCAGGCAAAACTCAGCTAGCAGGGTCTTTTGTGATTAATTGCTGCTGTTCATGAAATCTTTCAATCTTTTCAATGCATATTTGTGTATGCATCCATACTGACTTTCACTGCCTGCAACATGAAAGACGTGTTCTCTAATTGTGGGGAAAAAAACCCTTAGATCTTTTGATACCAGGGCATTGTTTTTAGTGTTTGAACATAATAGAGAGTAAACTTTCACTTGCTGCCCCTGGAAAGATAACCAAATTGACTGCAAGGAAAATGACTTCTGTATTGATTTTTCCATATTGTCATACCTTTTGCTGGAAGACAGTTTTTCAGTGAGAGGTTTTTTTTATTGAACTATTCCCAGGTAAGTAGTTGAACCACTATACCAAATTCAGTTTGCTAAAGAAATGTATTCTCTATGGATACTTTCTGTTCCAGTTATGAAAGGAGCAGATTTTACTGTGTACTTGTATTACAGTGATTTCTAGTTAGCAGGCTTTTAAATTTTTTTTTTTTTTTTTTTTTTTTGAGGTTAACATCTGCTTTATTTCAGCCCTGCCTTCATCTATTTTGGTTGTTAACGTTGTGTTTAGGATGTTTATACTTCTTTTTTGTCTATTTCAAAGCACAAGTCTTCAACTTTTCTTTTTCTGGGTTTTCTTTCAGGGTGATACTTCAGGAGACTACAGGAAAATCCTACTCAAGTTGTGTGGTGGAAATGACTAAATGGAGCATTGAGCTTTTCTTTTAAAAAGCTGCTATTTTCATGTTTTTGCTTTAAAGCATCTTCTTTTCTCTGAAAGTAAATATGTAATGACCTGTTTATCCTAAAGCAATTTAATTTTAAAGATAATATTGCGTATATCTTCCCTTCAGTTCAAAAATAAGTGCCAAAAAATATAATTATCACGCTTACGTGCCATCTGTTCAGCATTCTGTGCATCAGCAATCCATGAATGACAGGTCATTATTTCTTTTTTGCTTATGCTGTGCTGAAATAATATGTTTGTTTTATGGAACAAAAATCACAGTTGTATGGTTTAAGGTTTTCTTTTGTATAAACATTACGTGCCATTTTAGTGCAAGTTTTATATATGTTGTATGCAGAGTTGGTTTCATGCTAGCCTACTCCCTGTTATATGAAGAAAACAGCCTTGAGTTTTTGTGTCTAGTTAAGACTGTTTTAAAGAAGTTTTGTCAAGTTCTGTTTTCTTTCCTTGGTTGTTTTCAAGGAAGATGTGTTCCACATTTCATTCTCACTAGGGCAATGTCACAAGGCAGTAATAATGTTGACAGTAGAGAAGGGTTTTTTTATAGTTAATGTTTTAAGGTTTTGGATTGTGCCTTAAGTATATGTATGTAAGAAGAGATTATGAAATTAAAGCTGTCCATCTTTTAACTCTTTGCAGATGATGCTTTTTTGGTGTTCATGTTTATTTACATGTGAGGGATGGCTCAGTTTATATAACTTAGTTTTTCCATAGAAGTTCTATGTTTGAATCCACAGGATTATTCAGAAATGGTTGTGTTGACAGGAGTTTGTGACTTGTGTGCCATGGATGAGCAATTGTCTGTACATGATGTATGTAACCTGTAGTTATTGCTTGGTATTTTCATTTTGCATGTTGTAATTTCTCTGACTCTTGGAACTCTGAATTTTTATTCTCTGCTAGCACGGATGACATCTCTTCAGCTTGTCATTCTCAAAATAGAAATATATAAAGAAAATACACGCACACACACTTCCAGAAGTTTTGTTGCTGTTTGTTGCAGAAGAAAATGAGGGTGTCATGGGGGTGGATCTTGGAGTTATTTCTGGGTTGCATTGTCACTACAGCAAGGGAAAAGAGTATAAAGATATCAGAATAAGGTGGCAGTGCATCACAGAATCACACAGAATCACAGAATGTTAGAGATTGGAAGGGACCTCGAAAGATCATCTAGTCCAATCCCCCTGCCGGAGCAGGAACAAATCATCCAAATAATGAATTTTGGCTAGTCGCAGTTCTGACTGGGACATGCAGATAGGACTCCTGTTTCAGTCAGAGGCAGCAATGTGACTATGGCCAAAACTGGACTACTACATACACTCATTTTTGTCTGACAATCTAAACGTATCTTGAAATTGCAGCTGAAAGTGTATCTTCATTGATTTACACTGATAGCAAGGGTTTACTTCTTTGCCAGGGAAGGAGTAATCTTTTGGATTAAGGCAAGCTTGTTAGCTGTGCTTCAGTCCCGGACCCCGCCTGATCTTGTTTTATTACTGAGTGCTGTATTTGAAATGCAGTTTTGATTAAGTAGGGCTGCTGAAAGACTTAAAATATCAAGATTTGAAATAGTGTTTAAGAGCAAATACCTTTTTATTATAAAGCACAGGAACACAGAACACAAACTACAGCTGAGGATTGTTCATCCCTGCTCAAGTTCTGGAAACACAAGCTTGTTAAATGAACAAAAGTGCAGCTGTTCATGACAACTACACTCTTACATTCAGCTGTCTTCTCTCTTCACTGTGCTCAGCTGGTGTCTGTATAGAGAAGAGTTGATGTAACTATATTTGGTTATAAGATCAGAATCAATCTTTGTAGATAAACATCACTTAAAACATGAATCTTGCTACTTTAAAGTGGGGAATTGTCACTTTGATTCACCAAGTCACAGAAGGAAGGTCCTAGAGCTCTGCAGTTCTAGAGCCATTTGGCTGTTGTTGCAAGCTCTGAGTAGTGCTTTGCTATAGATGTGCTGCAAATATGCCGAGGTTGATTTAGGATTTCCATTTTAAATTCACTGTAACACTTTACTAGAAAGTTTTTCTTTTTTAAATAAATTGTTGGTGTAGGGAGGTAACTTATTTGTTACCTATTAACTGCTCCTCACAGATAATGGGAAATGTTACTGAATAACAAAGTTGGTGAGGAGGTATTGGTCATGGTGACCAGATCCATACAGCCAACTGCAAGAACTAAAAGCCAACATAAGCTCTGCTGTTGTCAACTTCCAGCCCACCTTCTATCATGTAAGTGCACTGTAGTATGCATGTGAGTATGTAAACAAACAAACAAAAACCCCAACACTGACAGCTCACTTCATAAACACGTCTGTGGATGCTCATACGTGTCCACAAGAGGTTTATTCTCCACCAGGAGTCTCTCTTACCTTGTTAAATGCACTATTGAGATTTGGGCAAAGAACAAAGAGCACAGAGGATTATAAGAAACTGTGTAGAATAGGTGGTCTTGTCCAAATAATTTCTGTTGTGGTTTAATTTATTCCAAAAACTTTTATCTAGGAGCATGTTTAGTGTGAGGGGCTTGCATATCAAAATGGTAATACTTCCAATAACTTTTTTTGTACTTTGTTGCACTCCTTTGTTTCATCTGTCACAGGTGAAACTAAAGAATCACAGGATCTTAAAACTGAAAGAGACTTTGAGACTGCTTAGTCCATGCTGCTGTACTAAGGTGTGATGCTTGTTCAATGTTTCGCGAGCTGGGGAAACTACAGTCCTATAATTTCAGTGGTTCACTGTCCTTGTAAGAAAGCTTTGTGTTGTGTTTTGCTGGAGTCTTTCTTGCTGCATTATTTCTTGTTTTATTCACTTTTCCATTGGGGAAGAAAACAGCTTTCATATTTGTGGCAGTCGTGTTTGTTCTGGTGGGCTACTTCAATATTCTTTAGACTAAACGTTGCCAATTTAAAACTCTTTTGTGTAGCTGATGTATCTAGCTCCTTGGCTGGGGTTTTGTTTGTTTGGTGGGTTTTTTTCCCTTTTCTTCCCTCCCTCTCTTTAGTGGTTGTTGAAACCTGATGTTCAGAACTGGACCCAGTATTTCAGCTGAGGCCTTAGATGCACTGAACTGAATGAAGGAAATACTTTGCATTGTGAAGGGAGGAAAGATGGCGTATTTGGTAATAACATATATGTGCAACACTGTTTTCAACTTAGGTTTTATCCCACTAGATACTTACCATCAAAAATGTCTATAAGAGGGGTTCCTGGTGCGATGGGGATATTCGATGTTGTCTCACTGATGATGTCGAGGAGTGACTTGACTTCTGATTCCAGATGCTCCACTGTTTTTATTACCTTCTGATGAAAACAAGAGAGACAGATGGAGAAAGGGGGAAGCCAAAGTGTCAAGTGGAAGGAATTGTACCAAATGTGTTAGTGGAAGTGCAAATCTAATGTCCCATAATGCTAGCAGCCAATTTAATTTATATTGCGCACTGCAGATTTAAATATTTCTTGTGTTATACTGGCCTCTAGTGGCACGAAGTATTGAAACGCTGTTTTGCAAGAGTTAAATTACAGCACCTCTGTATAAAGAATCACCCATAATTTGACTTCTTGGAAGGAAATGGCATTAATTTCTTTTTAATTCTCTCTCATTTCTGAGCCACCAGCATATCCAAGAAAAGAATCTGCATGGAAGATGAGAGGAGCTGATAGGGTGGAAGGAAGAGGGCTGGAACTAGAGTAGGAGAGGGGTAATGTTGCCACTTGAGAACCAACAGCATGCACGTTGGCAGCTACCCAGCTGGAAATAGCACTGGACAAGTGTCTTGTGATTGCTTAAGGCACCAGGAAAAAAACTAAAACTTTGTAGCTTTCCTAGAATCCCCGTCATAGAGTTCACTTAGCTCTTGAGTGTCCGCAGGTGTGAGCAGAAACTCCCTTGTCAGTCTTGGAATCACACACAGAATTCACATCTAGCCATGGGCAGATATGAAACTTTACAAGCGTAAGGCCTCAGATTATTATATTAAAGGCACAGTAATAAATGTTTTAGAAAAGACTGATACATAATATTCACTGGTTAGTTAATCAGTTGTTTGGAATTCATAAAGGTTATATGTTTCTGGTAATAATGAAAGGCATTATGGATAGTTACAAACCATGACATCTGAAAAAAAATAGAGGGAAAGGACAGTGTCCAGAAATATCATTATTTTTTCTTTTCTTTGGTCAAAAGTATGGAGCAGAGGTCTGGTAAGGTCCGGGAGCCCGGGCAATAGCTCTTACCTCCTCAATGATATCTAAGCGTTCATGGATTGTATCATGTTCATTACACCAGCTTCCCCTTCCCAGACTTCCAGGTAACACACTGACAGGGTCTGCAGCAGCTGGAAAAACAGCCACAGTTGATCAGCAGGAGCTTTTTAATAGCAGTGCTTACCTTTCTGACTTCTTAAGTGGTATTTTGCGTGCTAAACAGCATTGTTTATGAAACTAAATGTAAGAGTCCCAGGCAGAAACTGAACCTCTGTCCCAGTAATTACAGCAATAGGCCAGTGCTGTGAATGTCTCCTTGCCTGTACACGTTTATCAGTATTGGTTGGAACAAGGAGTTTTCTCTTGCCAGGAGTATTGTTTTGTTTTGTGTGCATGTGTTTGTTTTACACAGTCTGTTTTTTCCTACCTGTGTAGGGTAAGTTTATAGACTGTAACTCTGTCTCTACAAGTATAAAACCTAAACATTGGGAAGACCTGAGGCTTTTTTCAGAAGCAGCTGGTATGGTAAAACTTTGAAGGGCAGCTAAGTTTGTCCACTTATGCCCCTAATGGATACACGCTGGTGATTCCACTGTTCAGAAACTCATCCACAACAGTCTAAGTTTGTAATGGGAAGGGAACCAAATAAAAGTGTGTACAGCTGATGCTGTTTGCTGACCAGGTCATGTGTGGTGCTATATACAAAGCTGCTTATCTCAGTTATCTGTATTTACCTCAGTACTCATGAGCTTGCTCCTCCTTAAACATTTAATTCTGCTGGCTCTGCTCCATGAAGGGTCAGTACCTGCTGGTGTCCATGCTTTAACAGAGCCAATTTCCTTTTCATAACTATTGTGCAACATTCAGTAACATTTAGAGTTTAATATGTGTGCACAGAACTTGAGCAGAGTGTTTTAAACCCCACTGTAGTGATAACATACCTGGCTCCGTGTTGGTAAAGTTAGGTCTTGTTTGAGGCCTGAAGAAGCTATGACAATGAGAAATCAGCAGTAACTCCTTCTGTTGTTGTTTGATTGTAACAGAAACAAAGAGGAAACTGTGAGCTTATGTTATAATGAACATTAAGAAACATAAGAAGAGCAGCTAGTTCTGTCTTCAGTACTATTGTGCGAGAGCAGTGATTTGGAACTGCTGCAGTGCTTCATCACAAGTCTGTGCCAAGATCTCTGGAGTGTACATATCAGATGATGGCAAACACGTGTCAGTAAGGATTGTAGCCATTGCTGTTTGACAGGATGAGAGAAGTACTCTGACTTGGAATGGTATCCTTAAAATTGGAGGGTGGAGGGCATGGAGGAGGAGAAGATTAAAATGTGATCTGACATACTAGGCTTGGCATTATTTAGAAATTGGTTTGGTAGAGCTTAGGAGATAATTTTGGGTTGTTTATTTATAACAAGATTTTGATTTGGGTTTTTTTGGCGCACTGACCAGGAGGTGGTGCTGTTGATGCTGACAGCTTCCCAAAGAATTAACCTGCCTGTTTACGGAAGACTGCTGAAATATGGCAGGTACTTAAAAACTAGCTGCTTTGCAGTTGCCCTTTTTTCCCCTTTGTTGCTCCTGGTGGTGTGTTGGGAGTGTTGTTACCTAGTAACTTAGTGGTCAAGTGAACCATGCTACTTCTCAAAATTTTTGCTTATTTGCATGGCTTTTCCATCGTGGCTGGAACAATATGGAGAAACTGAAATTCTGTGTCAGAAATGGAGGTTACAATGCAATGGCCTGTCTTTCTCTACAAACCCTGTCTTCCTAATAATAGGATAATAGCAAGGTAAGCTCCATTTATTGTCAGAGATGAATAAAATTTCCACCTTTCCAATATTCCCAGCACTATCTCTCAGCATCAAGCCTGATGGCCCTATTCAGCATTCTCTCCCTTTGTGTTGGAGAGAGGACCAAGGGCAAACAGAAGGCATTGTGATGAGGTAACTGCAGATCAGTTGTTGACTGCTGAGACCATTCCCTGATATAACTACAAATGAACTGTGGAAAAGAGGCAGCAGAAATTAGGTAGTCTAAGAGCAAACAGAATAATTTTAAAACCCCTCAGGAGGTTATTTTTCACTGTATTAACCTAGCTGTAGATGGCTGGATCAGAAGGTCGGATAGAAATTTTGGATGAAGGCCAGCACCTGTTGCACACAGTTGTTAAAGGAGCCTGTGGCACATGCCAGGCTTGTTTAGTTTTGTCCGTTCCCTAGAAATGGAAAATGCAAGAGGGTTAATGTTGGCTAACTCACGTTGGTGTTGGCCACTTCTCTGTCTTTGATCATGCGTCTTATATTATGCTGGTTCATTAAAGAAATCCCAGAGCTCTGCTGTAGGAGCAGAAGTGGCTGTGTGTCCTACCTGAATCGGACTCTGACCTAGAGACTCTCTGGCCTTTCCAAACTGCCAAACGGCATGGTGGGCATGCCTGTTGGCACTGTGCTGGGGCTTCTTTCACCTTTGTCCTGCTACTGGAACTTAAATCCTCAAAGTGACTCTTTGAAGTTGAAATGATATAAGGTCTTACCCAAAATGTCACTTTAATAATTCCTTTAGCTTAGCCCTTTTGTGTGAAAGAGGATTCTGTTTGGCACAAACCTCAGCACCATGCTGACTGCTGCTCTAGGCAGGTACATAGATGGGGAGGCTAGATACGATTTGTTCAAAGCGAGGTATGCCAGGGTAGGCATGTATAGCCAAAATAAGGTTGTTGCATCTCACTGTGAGGTTAGCAAACACTAGACAGCTTTGTGTGCACGTGCATGTCTGGAGAACTAGGTAAAGGGGTTGCTGTGAAGTGCAGGACTCAGTGGTGTTCGGTTCCTTGGGGTGGTTGGTTCCTCTCTTCTGACATGGAGAAGAGAGAGCCTTCTGGCACTCGGAGCACGTCGCTGCTTTATAAACTCTCATGGGTTTACTGAAGCAGGAGGAAGTGTCTTGTCCTAGTTTGACAGGACTGTAAGATGTTACCTAAAACCACAGTGCCTAAGAAAATCTGACAAATGGTCGAAGCCTAAGTGTCTCATGAAGCATCTGATAGCTGCTGTTAGTGAGTGACAAGAGTTAGTAGAAACAAAGCATATCTAGTTCCCAGACCTCAGAGTATGGAGATGACTGAGGGCTGACCCAGCAGAAACCCTTTGACCCAGGCCCTGTGTGCCAGTGTCTGGTTAGTGACTTTCCCACTGGAGCAGAGCAGCTCTTGCACATGCAATTGCCCCTTCACCATGACACCGGAACAGGGTACTTCAGGTGGGCGGTTGCTGGCGCTGTCTGCGCAGCCAGTGCTTTGGGCACTGTAAGTTTTCCTCTGTTTTCTGAGCCATGGCTTGAGGGTTTGGCTGCTAAAACTCCTGATTGTTATTTTGTTGTCTGGCTTTAGCTCCTAACCTGCAGCCTTTAGATAAAGGCATGGGCTGTTCACAGAACACATCTGGTCCTGTGACAATATGGCATGTATCTGGGTCACTATGGTCAGGCAATTCAGCTGAAGCAATAATTTCCACGTGCTCAAAGAGAATCACATGTTGCTTATGAGCGCTGCCCTTCTCTGTATTGCAGTTGGTGGAAGGAAATGACACAGGCTGCCTTTGGCACTGACCAGCAGCGTCTCTACCTCAGGTAATAATAGCCTTTGCTATCTAAAGGGAGCAAAGAATGGAAGGCTGCAAGCCATGTAAGCAAAAGACTAATGGCCTTTTAGGATACTTCCGTGTATTTGCTCTCCTGTGGCTGAAGAAACATTTTAAAATGTAAATTAGAATTTTTACTTAGCTGTGTGTCAAAGCGCGTGCATAAATGCAGAAAACTTTGATAGTAAATTTTAAAGCTAACAGCTTTTAAAACTAAACAGTTCTTTGTATGCTGTATAAATTATATATTTCAAATATGTGGGTATTTGCAACTCTGACAGCTTAAGCAAGTATGTAGGAGGCATATTTCAGTGTATTAAATATCTAATTTGAAATTTAATGGATTATTTCAGGCAGTTATTTGTTGTAATGTTTCAATACGACACAAAGAACATTACCTTTCAGTAAATTTCCGAACTGCACATTCCCACCTGCTGCTTCCTGTAAGTCAGATGCTTTGTTCAATTCTTGAAGTCCATTCTATTTGATATATAGGTGGCTATGTTCCGTCAAGAATCAGAACCCTCTTGTTCAAGATAAGAAAACGACCCGTGCCTTTTTTCCCCCGATGACGTCCTCTATGCTAAGTCGGGGGTGCCCATGGAGACGGGTAGTTCTAACTGCCCTGAGCTGTGGTACGCCAGACACCAGCAGATGGAGCAGGCAAACAGAGAATCTCTGAGCTGGTTGCTAATAAGGGTGTGTTTAGCGGAAGAATATGCTTAATGTTTGAAAGAAGTAGCATGATGAAGAGTAAAGATCTATGTATTGTGGTCAACCTGACTGTGATCTTGCTCTTATAACAGGGGATACAAAGAGCAGTGAAATAAGAACTAAAACAACCTTAGCAAACAGGTTTAAGAGCAAAAGCCTTAGTTTTAGAATACCTCCCAGTTAAGCTCTTCTGCCTCCTGTATATTTGATATATTCCCCCAACATGTTGCTTCTACACACTCCCTGAAGAAGTCCCCTTCTAGGACCATCAGGATTAACCAGTTGCTGTTATATGGTTAATTTTGATCATCCAGGTAGTTGTTAATGTTAAACATCAGAATAAACCTGAGTAAATGAGTCTTCACGGTAATTTCCTGCTGTTACCAAGACTGACAGAACTGAAGTACACAATCACACAGATCTGGTTGGTCTTTGTAAGTATCCTTCCTAAAGATGCATTGCTGGTCACACTGAAGTTACAGGCTTGATGCAGAAATCACCGGGTTGGGCTCTTTGGTCTGAGTTATGGAGAAGGTGAAGCGGAGTGACCACAATGTTCCCTATTGGTCTTAAACTCTATAAAATCCCTTTTGCATCATTCTGTGACCAGTGTGGTTATGAAAGTTAACTGAGAGTTCATGTTGTGCTCAGTAGGGAGGGAGGGGGAAAACAAAGCAGACCACAAGTCAAATTAAAGCCAAGTGAGATTGAAACAAGAACCAGATGGCAAATAAGGAAGCTGGAAATCATGTGATAGACCAAGGGGAATAAAGGAGAACATGTATAACTCTTCAAGAAAACATACCATGTTGTGTGTTCTTGTTTGCAGTGCCTTAGGCTTAGCAGTATCATTTTATTCCTGGAGCACATAGCGTAAGGTAGCCAGATAGCTTTTACTGAGAAAAATGAAGGCGGTAGTACGGGATTCATGTCGCAGTAGGAAAAAGGTCATGAATTTGAGTATCAGGTTCAAATGGTGAATGCTTTAACCAGTTTGGGAAGAATGCAAAGGACCTCTGAAGGGATTTGCTGATCCTTGCTTAAATTATTCCTTGTCTGAATATAAGTGTTGGTCTCCACTTTAACACATGTATATAACTTTGAAGTGATAGTTCAAGAGATTACATGGTTTACAAAGGTAGTTGGGGAAGTTAACTTGCAGCTGAATACAGGATAGGTTCAATTGCTTTGAACCATGCTATCAAGTATTAGTGCTTGCAGACCTAAGACCATGTTAAGCCAAGACCGTTAGTCATACTTTATAATCTTTTTATGATCTTTTGGGGACTTTTCCTAAAGGCATCAAACTTAGTTTCCAGTTATGTCAACCTTTAATTACATTGGCATCCTTAGATACGGAAGTACTGGATTAACTTTCTGTACCCCTGCTGGTTTCATTATCACCAGCGTTCCCAAATTAATTTGAAGCTGTATTGTATATAATTTAATCAATGTCAAATGTTTTTGTTAGGATACCTAAGATAATTGATTCATATAGAATGTGTTGTGTTGAAAATGCTTTTTAATGCACAGACTATCTTCAAATTCTTACATGCTCAGGCGCATATCTTTAACTGAACATAGAGCGTCTCCCAGGCTGTAATCCATAAAACACTGCCTAATTGCTTAGCTCTGATTTAGGCACCTCTGAACCTCTTTCTAGAGTTTAGACTTTCTAGTTGCTTAAAGATAAGGGGCTTCTTGCCTTTAGCGATTGCAATAAAGACTACAGGAATTGTAATAAATATGTACATTTTCTTGGGTTCTTATATACTGTCATAAATTACTATGCTTTACACTGGAGGCAACTGCAGGGGTTTGCTTATATATACATGCAAATATATATATATCTATATATACATGCATGTAAATATATATATGTACACACACCTGTATAAGGCTCTAGCTTTTATGGCAGAGCGACACTGCAAATTCATACAGGGCAAATGTGGAACATCCAAAGTGGGAGATGGAAGGTAGGCATTGCATACTAGACAGAGACTTGACAGTAGAAAGTTCTTCTGGAATTTGGGGGGTGGGGGAGGATTGGTTTGGTTTGTTTTTATTTTTTTTAATTATTTCAAGAAGGTACACTGAAAATTTTTAATACCCGATTAGGGATTAATCTGTAAACTATGCATTCACTTTATACTTCAGCTGCTGCTTGAATGCCAAGTCTTGGAAAGATTTCAAACATGGAACAAAATCCAAGGAATTCCTCTGGTATCCACGATTCATGAGCCTCTGATAATAGAGGAAACATTCTGAAATAAGTTTCTTCCATTAAATTAATTATTTTAAATATTAATTTTAGAAGCTTGAATAACCATATCAGAAAGTCAAGTTCTAAACTTGCAGACCTGTGTCATACTCTGTTTATCAGGATGTAGAATATGCTACTATGCGTATTATTTCAGATCCTAGATCAGTTAAGGCTGAACTTATTTTAATTCCTTTTTCCCTGAAAGAGAAGGACCAAAGAGGAAATCTCATGCATTGTGGGATGTATTGCATTCATGAAGGTGGGTCAGGGTATCAGCCTACCAGGTCTCACTTCTATAATTTGTCTGTCCCATCAGCCTACACCTGAGATGCTGTGGTGTAGTGTGTTCTGGTCCTACTGGGCCTCACTCATGCTTGTGAAATGTGCAAAATTAGAAATGGGACTTGGCAGAAATTGTTCCTGACTAGGAGATGGCTGACATGTATTTCTGTGTAAAACTACTTCGCTAGGAGTAAGTTTTTGCTATCATGGTCCATGTCATTCTCATTTCACAAGGGAGCTTCAGGTCTCGCTTACCCAGCAGTGGAGACTGAGAAGGAGCGTACAAGGCCAGGGGTAGTTTGTGCTGCCAGTGGACACTCTTTTTTTGCAGGCACAGCAAAATCTGGGGCCCCTGCCTTGGCTGTCTGTCAGAAGCAGAATTACTACTTGAAAG